TTGTACCACATGTCCTTCCACTCGTTTATCTTCAACGAGTACTTTCGGGAGGCCTTTTTGTGGAACTGGCGTCGGACCTGGGCAGTCAACTGTGGGTCCCAAGTAAATTCTTGCTGAAAAAACACGTACCCAGATTAGTATTGTTTATTTGAATGGAAATAAAAATCTACATTCTTAATTGGGAAAAAAAAAATATACCGCAAATTGCCGAAACCAGGTCTCCTGGTCTGCCACCGGCATCGAACTAAATGTGGGATACGGTTTAGTTATCAACGAATTCATCATTGCGTTGATCGAACTCGTAATCCCGTTTCCCGAATATTTAAACATGCACGACGTAAAGAACTTTCATCGAAACCAAATAGATCGAACGATCCCTTCTCCCATCCGAGATCAATCGATCCACCCTTCTGACTAATCAAATTTTCTTTTTTCACTTGTGCAAATTAATTTTTTATAAAACCTTTGTTTTTCATTCTTTTAGAAGAGATCCTCGTAGATCTGTTCTCTTGAGTTTTGAAGCACTGGGGAGACCATGCTCAAACCATATTGACAATTGAAGAACACTTATGAACCTTCTCTATTTTATTGAATTTCATCATGTTTTCCATAATTTCATCTTTTGTTTATTCATTTTTTTTTGTACGAGTAACTTCCTAGTTAGAATTTAGGGTTTCAAAAAGATTTCATGACTTGTTAGATTATAGATGTATTTATTGGTTTATTCATCTATTTTGTATTGATCCCTTAATTTGAGGTTCAAGAGTCCACCCTCACTGAATATTAATTCCATTTATGCACACCTTCCTTTACTTGACTTCAGGTGAAGAAATTTTCTTTGTAGTGCCAAACGCAAGTCGGAGTAGTCGGTGTAAGATGAATCTGGGCTAGAGTGACACACCACATTTTACATAAAGGATTAATGGTGGTGTATCAATCCACTGCAAGAAACAATCCACTTTTTAAACAATACTAACACTATATTTCATTTTGATGTATATCATTTTGATGATACGGTGCAAATCACTTTTGTTACAATTACAAAAGCACACAAAATTTAGCGATACCATCATTTATTTATTACCGTTAATTCTTACCTTTTAGCTATTCTATTTTATTTTTATTATTAAAAACGATTATTGTTTTCACACGTCCGATTTAAAGCCCAACAAACAAATAATTTTAGGGTTAATTAGGTGAATATTATGTTTTGTACATGTAATTAGATGAGTAACATCCGGTGATTGAGAATTAGGTGAGTAGCAAATTGTTGTTTCTTCTGGACAAAAATGCCCTTAATTAAATTATAATGAAAAGTGGTTAAAAAAATTATATACGGTAAATCTAAAATCTCTAGAAATCCATTGTGAATCAATGTATTCTATTTTTGGAAAAATGCCTTAAATTCTCTGTCATCTCTGAAAAAAGAAATGCAAAAAAAAATAATTGGGTTATGATGAGATCATGGCTAACTTGGGACATGGAGGTTCTGGAC